ACGCCACTTCCTGAAAAACTTGCTCAAAACATCAATAATTAAAACTGAAGCTGCTGCAACAAGAACATCTCAGCTCAGGTTAGGGGATGTATGATCAATAATCAATAATTCACAATCAATGATTAATCATACAGGTTATGAGACGTTATCAGCAACATTGTCATTTCTCATCCGACGAAATGTTATAATCATAAATTTTATAGTATGTTCATATATATCTGGCTTGGTCAGACCAAGAGGATTCTGAAGATATCAAGAAAGACGTGCAACAAGGATAAGAGGGAGCGTTCTCTCCCTTCCTGGATCTAGGAGAGCCGATTCTGGGACCCAGAGCTGGGGAATGTGTGTTCTGGTGCTCAACGGACCAATAAAAGATGTCGAAAAGTGATCTCATCCTGATATGTCGCACCATGCTGGTAATTTAGATTATCACGAGTCCTGATTTACATTCACGAGTTCAGAGTCTAAAAGCTTTGGGTTTTAGAAGGAATGTGCATGACTCATGATTCAGATAGTATGCAATGAAATGTATCTGTCCAGTTATCCAATCACATAATTGTCACGATTCCTGTCTTGTGTTTTCCTTGTCTTGTGTGGACTTTAGTTATTTCCTGTTTCTGTGGCATGTTTTGTAGTCCTTTGTAGTCTTTATTGTTTAATAAGTTTCCCCAGGTGTTTCTGATTTACCACGCCCCCTTGTTCCCTCGTTTAGCTTGTTTGTCTGTGTATTTTAACCCCTGTGTTTCAGTTGTTGGGTGTCGGTCGATGTTTCACTGTAGCGTTGTTTTGAGTTCTTGTTTCTGAGTTGTGTTCTGAGTTCCTGTTTCGAAGTTTCTTTGTCTTCCGTGGATTTCCCTTTTTGTTTGTTTATTATTATTATTAAAACTGTTTTCTGCATTTGGATTCCTCCTTGCCTCCTCATCGTTACAGATCGACCGACCACCTATGAATCCAGCAGGACTTCAGGAAAATCTGCAGCTAAGTAGGTGCCCTCGCCTGATCTGAATCCCCAGGATGGCTGCCGCTATGCCTGATTGGTCTGAGTACCTGCGCATCCTGTCGGATGTGCGGGCTCAATTAGATCTTTGCACCCTGCCAGATATTCGTGTTTTGCGAGATATCAACATCAGCCCCGCCGAGACCGCGCTCACCGTCAGCACCGTCGAGCCTGAATCCTCCTCATCGCTGGTTCCGTCCAGTCTCGTCAAGCCGGAACTCTCTCCATCGCTGGTTCCGTCCAGCCCCGTCGAGACCGCTTCACTGCTGGTCTCGTCCAGCCCTGCCCAGGCAGAGCCCGAGACCGTCCAGCCTGAGCCCGAGACCGTCCAGCCTGAGCCCGAGACCGTCCAGCCAGAGCCCGAGACCGTCCAGCCTGAGCCCGAGACCGTCCAGCCAGAGCCCGAGACCGTCCAGCCAGAGCCCGAGACCGTCCAGCCCGAGACCGTCCCGTCTGTCCAGCGAGAGACGGTCCACGCCCCGTCTGCCCCAATCCGGGGACTCAGCCCAAATATTTTTTTGGGGGGGGCCTCAGTGTCCCAGCCACGGCCGCCCGAGGGGTCTTCACCGCCGTGGCCACCCGAGGGATCTTCACCGCCGAGGCCGCCCGAGGGGTCTTCACCGCTGTGGCCGCCCGAGGGATCTTCACCGCCGAGGCCGCCCGAGGGGTCTTCACCGCCGTGGCCACCCGAGGGATCTTCACCGCCGTGGCCACCCGAGGGATCTTCACCGCCGAGGCCGCCCGAGGGGTCTTCACCGCTGTGGCCGCCCGAGGGGTCTTCACCGCTGTGGCCGCCCGAGGGATCTTCACCGCCGTGGCCACCCGAGGGATCTTCACCGCCGAGGCCGCCGAGGGATCTTCACCGCCGAGGCCGCCCGAGGGGTCTTCACCGCTGTGGCCACCCGAGGGATCTTCACCGCCGTGGCCACCCGAGGGATCTTCACCGCCGAGGCCGCCCGAGGGTCTTCACCGCCGTGGCCACCCGAGGGATCTTCACCGCCGAGGCCGCCCGAGGGATCTTCACCGCCGAGGCCGCCCGAGGGGTCTTCACCGCTGTGGCCGCCCGAGGGATCCTCACCGCCATGGACGCCCGAGGGTCCGACAGCTTCACCCTGGCCTTCGCCTCATCCTACTCCGGCCACGTTCTGCGGCCCAGGTCCGCCTTTGCTACCTCCTGGTTCCGTTCCTCTTCTGCTCCACGGACCTGGCCCTCCATCCCGCCCCCAGATCCGCCTCCGCTCCACCTCCCACCTGGACAGTTTTGTTTTTGAGCGTCTGGAATCCGCTCCTTAGGTGGGGGGCTATGTCACGATTCCTGTCTTGTGTTTTCCTTGTCTTGTGTGGACTTTAGTTATTTCCTGTTTCTGTGCCATGTTTTGTAGTCCTTTGTAGTCTTTATTGTTTAATAAGTTTCCCCAGGTGTTTCTGATTTACCACGCCCCCTTGTTCCCTCGTTTAGCTTGTTTGTCTGTGTATTTTAACCCCTGTGTTTCAGTTGTTGGGTGTCGGTCGATGTTTCACTGTAGCGTTGTTTTGAGTTCTTGTTTCTGAGTTGTGTTCTGAGTTCCTGTTTCGAAGTTTCTTTGTCTTCCGTGGATTTCCCTTTTTGTTTGTTTATTATTATTATTAAAACTGTTTTCTGCATTTGGATTCCTCCTTGCCTCCTCATCGTTACAGATCGACCGACCACCTATGAATCCAGCAGGACTTCAGGAAAATCTGCAGCTAAGTAGGTGCCCTCGCCTGATCTGAATCCCCAGGATGGCTGCCGCTATGCCTGATTGGTCTGAGTACCTGCGCATCCTGTCGGATGTGCGGGCTCAATTAGATCTTTGCACCCTGCCAGATATTCGTGTTTTGCGAGATATCAACATCAGCCCCGCCGAGACCGCGCTCACCGTCAGCACCGTCGAGCCTGAATCCTCCTCATCGCTGGTTCCGTCCAGTCTCGTCAAGCCGGAACTCTCTCCATCGCTGGTTCCGTCCAGCCCCGTCGAGACCGCTTCACTGCTGGTCTCGTCCAGCCCTGCCCAGGCAGAGCCCGAGACCGTCCAGCCTGAGCCCGAGACCGTCCAGCCTGAGCCCGAGACCGTCCAGCCTGAGCCCGAGACCGTCCAGCCAGAGCCCGAGACCGTCCAGCCAGAGCCCGAGACCGTCCAGCCTGAGCCCGAGACCGTCCAGCCTGAGCCCGAGACCGTCCAGCCTGAGCCCGAGACCGTCCAGCCTGAGCCCGAGACCGTCCAGCCAGAGCCCGAGACCGTCCAGCCAGAGCCCGAGACCGTCCAGCCCGAGACCGTCCCGTCTGTCCAGCGAGAGACGGTCCACGCCCCGTCTGCCCCAATCCGGGGACTCAGCCCAAATATTTTTTTGGGGGGGGCCTCAGTGTCCCAGCCACGGCCGCCCGAGGGGTCTTCACCGCCGTGGCCACCCGAGGGATCTTCACCGCCGAGGCCGCCCGAGGGGTCTTCACCGCTGTGGCCGCCCGAGGGATCCTCACCGCCATGGACGCCCGAGGGTCCGACAGCTTCACCCTGGCCTTCGCCTCATCCTACTCCGGCCACGTTCTGCGGCCCAGGTCCGCCTTTGCTACCTCCTGGTTCCGTTCCTCTTCTGCTCCACGGACCTGGCCCTCCATCCCGCCCCCAGATCCGCCTCCGCTCCACCTCCCACCTGGACAGTTTTGTTTTTGAGCGTCTGGAATCCGCTCCTTAGGTGGGGGGCTATGTCACGATTCCTGTCTTGTGTTTTCCTTGTCTTGTGTGGACTTTAGTTATTTCCTGTTTCTGTGCCATGTTTTGTAGTCCTTTGTAGTCTTTATTGTTTAATAAGTTTCCCCAGGTGTTTCTGATTTACCACGCCCCCTTGTTCCCTCGTTTAGCTTGTTTGTCTGTGTATTTTAACCCCTGTGTTTCAGTTGTTGGGTGTCGGTCGATGTTTCACTGTAGCGTTGTTTTGAGTTCTTGTTTCTGAGTTGTGTTCTGAGTTCCTGTTTCGAAGTTTCTTTGTCTTCCGTGGATTTCCCTTTTTGTTTGTTTATTATTATTATTAAAACTGTTTTCTGCATTTGGATTCCTCCTTGCCTCCTCATCGTTACAATAATCTTATGCAATATCCCAAAATTAGCAAAAACACATGGATGGAAACATTGCCACTGACAGGATCTATGGGTTCAACTGTAAAACTGTGATTTCAGAAACTCAACTTACGGTGCATCCTTCCGGCAGCGTTCTATTTATATCTGCAATGATATAAACCAGCATGAAGACAGTAATAAAATACTGCTGCGAATGAAAATTCAGATGTGTCAGACAAAACTTAATAATCTCATAAAGTTCTACTTATATTGTGTTTTATTCATTTTGAACTGAGTCCAGATCGAGTGGAAGTGTCTCACTTTAAACTGTTATGATGTTTCTCCATTAGGAGCAGAACTCATGTTACCAGCACATCAAACTATCAGTAAGATCACAGTGCTAAACTGGATGGATGCAACCATAATTGACCATTCAACACCATATGTGGGAATGAAGAGACGTTGCCTGTGGCCATTTTTTTAATTTATTCAACTACATGTCAACTAACTGTCATTAGAGTATTAGTAGGCTGTAGTGGACTGTCAGTAGACTGTTAGGTTAGGGTTAGGAGAACAAGTTGACTTGTAGTTACTTAGTCAGTTGAGTATCTGTTGAGGGACCAACAAATTAAAGTGTTAGCAGATATTAAGCTGACAGTCTACTCATAATCAAATGATAGTTAGTTGACATGTATTGGCAAAGTTACTTATAGTTAGTTGAATGTCTAAAGTGGACTATCAAAATAAAGTGTTACCAAAAAAAAAATCTTTTTTAAAAAAAACTTGTGTGCAGAAATTAATTTCGTGATAATAAAAATGTATGATGTATGCAATGCAATGTTCTGCAACTGCACATTTCACACACTCACACACACACCAAAACGTTCAGTCAAAACACAATCCAACACATGAAACATCAGACTACATTACCAGCTGAGGCCGTTACTGGTCTGACTGTTGTGCTGGTGCTGCTGGTGTTTGTAACTGGAAAAAAAAGATGAATATTTATGAAGCACAGTACGAGGAAAAATGGCCAATTTGCCTGAACAATCTTTACGCATAAAGGATTATAAATAGCCCGAGGTGAATTAATTTAAAACTTTTCTGAAGTTGATGAAGGAAACAACTAAAACAACTTTTTTCAGGAGTTTCAGGAAACAGTTCTGCATTGATAAAGCAGATCCACACGGCTGCTTTAATGGTCAAGTGACTGTGTTACAGTGGTTTAAATAAGGCCTGTATGTTCTGAAAAAAATGTTCTGCAACTGCACATTTCACACACACACACACACACTCTCTTTATCTAGAGACACAAACACACTCACACACCAAACATTCAGTCAAAACACAATAAACACATGAAACATCAGACTACATTACCAGCTGAGGCCGTTACTGGTGTGACTGTTGTGCTGGTGCTGCTGGTGTTTGTAACTGGAAAAAAAAAAGAAGAATATTTATGAAGCACAGAATGAGGAAAAATGGCCAATTTGCCTGAACAATCCTTACACGTATAAATAGCCAGTTTTTTTTTTATCTAGGTGAATTACTTTTAAACTTTTCTGAAGTTTACATATCAACTGTCTGGAAATGAAAGCGGTTGGTTTGGCCCTGAAAGCATTTCTGTCAAACCTCAGAGGTCACCACGTCTTACTCCATACGGACAACATCACAGCCACATGTCAGCGGTGTCCTACATAAACCACCAGGGGGCATCAGGTGAGGAAACCTGTATGCTATGGAGAGAGACCTCCATTTATAGGCACAGACCAATCTGATCTCCAGGGAGCAGCGTATATCCCTGCCGTCCACAGTTTGGGTGTGGATATGCTCTCACGGGGAAACACTCCCCTAGAGAGTCAGAGAATCATCTACAGTGTGTGTGTGCTGTTTGCCAAGCATGCGCACTTATAGCATCTGAATGTACGCACAACGCGACACTGACTCTAGATTAGGTTTTTTAGACTGGTCAGTGGAGCAATTTTTTTCTAGAACTGCAAAATAGCACCAGGGATTGTTTGCTCTGGAACACGCCCCTTTTTTCCCGCGTAACCGCCCAGGAGCACATGTAAATTCATTCCCATGTTTAGCTACTGACGTGCGTCTGTGGAGGGAAAAGTCTGCTTTCACAGACACATGGTCCCCCTTTATAAGATGTTTTGAGGAGCTCCCCTGCCTCTAAACTAGAATAATCTGCCTTAATTTCCCCTTGTTAAATTATCTTTAGGTTTTTTTGTAATGAGTGTATGCCTGTCTTTTATAAATCTCTGTTAAAACCACTATATTATTATTATTGTTAATATCATTATTATTATTGTATCAGTACTCTTTTTTTCTGGACTAGTGGCTTTATAAAGTGTGATTTATATATTTTACGAAGATGTGCCAATTTTTTGGAGCATATCCCATATCTTGAATTTGAATTGATGTCAAAAACAGGATCTAGAATAACAATTTGAATTTGAATTAAAGGAAGCAGAATTACAATTCAATAAAAATTCTAAGAAAGGCTTATAGATATTTTAAGTGAAGTGTTTAACAATAGCTTTACAATATATATTAGATATGATTGCATCACATATTGTATAAATTATATTAGTTTGAACTACCAGGAAATGTTTTCCCCAGCAATGAATGTTAAAAGCTCTAGTCACAGAACAAATCATAAGTTTGATTTATTGTAATTGTAACGCCATTTCCCAGAATTACTTTAGTAAATCTTTAGGGGGGAAAAAATCAAATTAAAAGGAAATTGCTTTACATTGATACAGTAATCCAAATAAATTAATCTAAGCCACATTTTTAATGGGTAACTTATAAGTGTGAGCAATTACATTTACAAAGTAACCGTCCTAACCCTGACTGTAGAGGAGCGTGGGGCACAACGTAACCCTGGGCTAGTTGTAACACACTTGTTTTAAATACTTCCGCACGCTAGCATGACGAAACTTGGTGTATTTACTAGTTGCCATTTCAACACTATACAGAGAAAATTTTGCGCCAAAATTAAGAGATCTTTGTAAGATATCACTGAACATTTATTTAACCGTAGCAAAAGCACATTTCCTACTTAAGTTAATTTTTCATCTCTATTTTTTTGTGTGTAATTAAAATTAGACAAATCTGATTTTTTTTTTTTTTAATCTCTAATCTGTTGTTTAACAGTTGATATAGTTCTTTAATGCTTCGCTAACTAGCAGACACTAGCAGGGTTTAAACCCCAGTTGTGCAGGTGGGGCATGTTGTCACACTGCTTTACATTGTGCTCCTATTAGAAATATGCTATTATAAATAAAGACTGAGAAAGACTGTAAATAAAGACTGTATAGCCGTGTTTTCCGGTGTGTTTGTTGTCAAAATCAAAAATTAGATTATTTTTAATTATTAAAAAAATGCCATTATTTTATATAAAAAAAGTTAATAATTTTGAAAATATTTTGGTTTGGTATTTTATTTTATTAGATGAGATAGCATTTTAAGCTGTCATATGGTGATGTTACAATGTGCCCCTCACATGTTACAGTGAACCCCACATATGGGGCATGTTGTCACATTTCACTTCCATTCTTTCAAGGTAAATCAAGAAAAAAGTATACACTGTATTAATAAAACAAAACCACATAATTGTACTAGACATATGGGAAATTAATGTGGGAAAAAAATAAATACTCAAATAGATTTGCACAAACTGAGAAAGCCAAAAAGCGTTACGTTGTGTCCCGCTTTCCCCTATGTGAGATTCAACACATTCTTTCTGTTGTGTGACTGTGTGGAATTTCTTTGAATTGCCATGAATTTAATTCCACTTCCGGTCATTCCAATTCAAATTCAAATTAAACTTCCTGGGGGGAGGAGTCAATTCAATTCAAATTCCAATTCATGAAGTGAATGGAGGCCAATTCTCGAATTCTGAATTTTGCACAAGCCTGATATACTGTATATATAGAAAAATCACGCTGACACACACGCTAGATAAAATAATGTGTCTAACCCTGAGAAATCCACTGTAGCAATGGATTAACAAAAATCAACTGGATGAAACAATATGTTGCTACTGTATTTTCTACAGTAAAGTACTGGCAACAACAGCTGATGTTTTTATTGAATTATAGTCGTGCAGTGAATATTTTATTCTTCTGACACAAGCACACATCTATCCAATGGTACAGAGCGGTGTTTCCTAAAAGCATCGTAAGCCTTAGTTGATCATAGAGGCCATTGGTGTCCGCTGCTCTGCCATCAACTCAGACTTATGATGATGCTTTTGGGAAATACAGCCCTGATCTGTAGACTACATACATTAGAAAACATTCAGGAAATAAGCCAATAGAGACACAGTGTGTTACATTACCAGGTGAGATGGTCACTGGTGTGACAGTTGTAGGGCTGGTGTTAATGCTGCCAGTGTCTGAAAGTTTGGATGAATAATGATTAATCAACAGAAACACAAATATCATGAATGTGTAGAAAGAGCTCATGTGAATATAATTACCTGCACAGTATGCCATATCACAGCGAGTTGGTCTGACCAGCTCATAGACATAATAATCTCCTGGACAGGCTTTGACTTTAATGGGATAAGACCCGAAAAAGCAGCAGAAACTCCCACCGTCACCGCAGACATCTCGAGTGACGACTCCATCTGTTACTGTTGGGTGTCCACCACGGATCCACAGTGGGATATTAGTGCCACAACTGTACCACGGAACACACGTGTCTGAGATATGAGCGCTAGTGCTGTTAATGAAGAGACGATACCAGCCGCTCCAGGAGACAGACCGGTCACAGTTTCTGACTGAAGCATTTGTATTACTGATGGATCTCCATGTATCGTCCAGCACAGTGTAGTTGTTGCAGGGGTCTGACAGATTAGATGTAGTGAAAATATATTGAGAAATTAACAAGTTTCTAAAAAACATGTTTTATTACAAAATGTAACCAAAATTGCAGCTTCAGACATTACTTTTTTCTTCTTCTTCTTTTGCTAATTCAGAGCGATTCATTTCGATCCACAATATTTTTAAACAAATGCACTTATTGTATTATTTAAACATCAATACATCTTAAAGAAAATCTTTTAAATTGGAATTAAACATGTTACACACCAGTATAATCATTTACATATTATTATAATTGTTTTTAAAATATTTTATTTCTATTTTAGAAATGACCACTTTAAAATGACCATTGTTTGGTTTTCAGTGGGAATCCTGGTCCATAAACTAATATTAAAGTAACAATCTGGTATTCAGTTTCCTCCATATTTCATATGCATAAAATGAAAAAAAATGTTTAAACTAAATGATTTGAGTAAAACAGCAGACACAGTTTAAGGTAATAGTGGCCCACAGCTGATCAGCAGAAGTATTTCAGTAAGACAGTGATAACACGAGTTATTTCTACCTGATTTAAATTCTAATTGTGTTGTTGTGACCTAATTCAATCAGATTTCTGTAACATAAAACAATGCTGATTGAACTTAATTGAGTTACATTGATCCTATACACAACTTCCACTAAAGCTCAGGATGGCCAGATTGGACACGTGCGCACTACGACTGCACCAGACCTAGAGGGCAGTATAGTCGTGACTCGTGTCAGCTACAGGACGTCTGCTCTGAAGAACACAGAAGAAGAAAGGGTGTGTGTTTGGCTGCTTCTTGCTGATTGGTCAATTTTGCCTCATTAAGAAATAGTTGGTTCCAGTCCTTGATTCTGATTGGTCAATAACTGTGTTTGATTGAGAATAAGGACAGCTATGATTGGATCAGCCAACAGTTCTATGTGTCACTACACAACACCCCTAGCAACGTGAACATTCATATTGTTCATTGAAGATTATGTGTATGCGCTGTGTGTGTGCTCTCCTCTGTGTGTGTGTGTGTGTGTGTGTGTGCTCTCCGCTTTTTACGTTCACAGAACCAACATTGAATATTTGGAGCACATTCTTGTAACTAAACTCTGTTAGCTTGGAAGCTTTGTGGTTTATAATAAAATAAACATTGATTTAAATAACGCTGACACACACGCTAGATAAAATAATGTGTCTAACCCTGAAAAATCCACTGTAGCAATGGATTAACAAAAATGTGTAATGTTACATTACCAGGTGAGATGGTCACTGGTGTGACAGTTGTAGGGCTGGTGTTAATGCTGCCAGTGTCTGAAAGTTTGGATGAATAATGATTAATCAACAGAAACACAAATATCATGAATGTGTAGAAAGAGCTCATGTGAATATAATTACCTGCACAGTATGCCATATCACAGCGAGTTGGTCTGACCAGCTCATAGACATAATAATCTCCTGGACAGGCTTTGACTTTAATGGGATAAGATCCGTAAGAGCAGCAGAAACTCCCACCGTCACCGCAGACATCTCGAGTGACGACTCCATCTGTTACTGTTGGGTGTCCACCACGGATCCACAGTGCGATACCAGTGCCACAACTGAACTGAGCAACACACGTGTCTGGGATATGAGCGCTAGTGCTGTTAATGAAGAGACGATACCAGCCGCTCCAGGAGACAGACCGGTCACAGTTTCTGACTGAAGCATTTGTATTACTGATGGATCTCCATGTATCGTCCAGCACAGTGTAGTTGTTGCAGGGGTCTGACAGATTAGATGTAGTGAAAATATATTGAGAAATTAACAAGTTTCTAAAAAACATGTTTTATTACAAAATGTAACCAAAATTGCAGCTTCAGACATTACTTTTTTCTTCTTCTTCTTTTGCTAATTCAGAGCGATTCATTTCGATCCACAATATTTTTAAACAAATGCACTTATTGTATTATTTAAACATCAATACATCTTAAAGAAAATCTTTTAAATTGGAATTAAACATGTTACACACCAGTATAATCATTTACATATTATTATAATTGTTTTTAAAATATTTTATTTCTATTTTAGAAATGACCACTTTAAAATGACCATTGTTTGGTTTTCAGTGGGAATCCTGGTCCATAAACTAATATTAAAGTAACAATCTGGTATTCAGTTTCCTCCATATTTCATATGCATAAAATGAAAAAAAATGTTTAAACTAAATGATTTGAGTAAAACAGCAGACACAGTTTTAGGTAATAGCGGCCCACAGCTGATCAGCAGAAGTATTTCAGTAAGACAGTGATAACACGAGTTATTTCTACCTGATTTAAATTCTAATTGTGTTGTTGTGACCTAATTCAATCAGATTTCTGTAACATAAAACAATGCTGATTGAACTTAATTGAGTTACATTGATCCTATACACAACTTCCACTAAAGCTCAGGATGGCCAGATTGGACACGTGCGCACTACGACTGCACCAGACCTAGAGGGCAGTATAGTCGTGACTCGTGTCAGCTACAGGACGTCTGCTCTGAAGAACACAGAAGAAGAAAGGGTGTGTGTTTGGCTGCTTCTTGCTGATTGGTCAATTTTGCCTCATTAAGAAATAGTTGGTTCCAGTCCTTGATTCTGATTGGTCAATAACTGATTTTTATTGAGAATAAAGACGGCTATGATTGGATCAGCCAATGGTTCTATGTGTCACATACACAACACCCCTAGCAACGTGAACATATGTGCTCATATTGTTCATTGAAGCTAATGTGTTATGTATGTACTGTGTGTGTGCGTGTGTGTGTGTGTGTGTGTGTGTGTTCTCCGCTTTTACGTTCACAGAACCAACATTGAATATTTGGAGAACATTCTTGTAACTAAACTCTGTCAGCTGGGAAGCTTTGTGGTTTATAATAAAATAAACATTTATTTAAAAAAGAGTTTGATCTACAGTGACTGTTTGAGTTTATTGTGAAGAGCGCTGAGGCGCTGTGGAAAGAGTAATTAAAAATAAAGCACACAAGCTCCAGTATTCGCCGACCCCTTGTCTTCTTCCATCACCCTCACTGAACCATAGCTTAATTTCATCACAATAACGCTGACACACACGCTAGATAAAATAATGTGTCTAACCCTGAGAAATCCACTGTAGCAATGGATTAACAAAAATATGTAATGTTACATTACCAGGTGAGATGGTCACTGGTGTGACAGTTGTAGGGCTGGTGTTAATGCTGCCAGTGTCTGAAAGTTTGGATGAATAATGATTAATCAACAGAAACACAAATATCATGAATGTGTAGAAAGAGCTCATGTGAATATAATTACCTGCACAGTATGCCATATCACAGCGAGTTGGTCTGACCAGCTCATAGACATAATAATCTCCTGGACAGGCTTTGACTTTAATGGGATAAGACCCGAAAAAGCAGCAGAAATTGATCCAGTGAGCGCAGACATCTCGAGTGACGACTCCATCTGTTACTGTTGGGTGTCCACCACGGATCCACAGTGGGATATTAGTGCCACAACTGTACCACGGAACACACGTGTCTGAGATATGAGCGCTAGTGCTGTTAATGAAGAGACGATACCAGCCGCTCCAGGAGACAGACGTGTCACAGTAGGGGTTATTTGTATTATTGATGGATCTCCATGGATTGTCCAGCACAGTGTAGGTGTTGCAGGGGTCTGACAGATTAGCTGTAGTGAAAATATATTAAGAAATAAAACATGTTTTATTACAAAATGTAACCAAAATTGCAGCTTTAGATATTACCTTTTTTCTTCTTCTTTTGCTAATTCAGAGCGATTCATTTCGATCCACAATATTTGTTTCAAAGGCACTTATAGTATTGTCACAGGTCGAGGGGAGGAACGCTCGGGTGACCAACCACCCCCCCTCTAACCGAGTCACCACCGTGAGGAGCCGACACCACAGGCACACGACAGAGGACCACAGAGACAGAGATAAGTTTCAAAGGAGTAACAATCTTTATTAAACCAGGGGTTTCTCACAGTTTAAGATACTCTCAGCGGTGCTGCAGACTTCCGGACTCATACAGTAAGTATGGCAGGTAAGGATTCTTCACAGTACAGAGTACTCTCGTGGGTGCACGGTAATGAAGCAGTGGGTTAAACGATTACTTTATCAGCGTTGCTGAATACTTCTGGGCTCAAACAGTAAGTAGAACAGGTGAGGATAGTCACAGTACACAGTACTCTCTCTTCAGTTCACAATAGGGAGACAGTGAGTCATAATGTTACTTTACCAGTGGTGCTGTATGCTTCTGGGCTCAAACAGCAAGTAGAACAGGTGAGGATCTTCACAGTACAAAGTACTCTCTCCTCAGTTCACAGTAGGGCGACAGTGGGTTAGACAATTACTTTACCAGCGATGCTGTGTGCTTCTGGACTCAAACAGTGAATAGAACAAGTGAGGACATTCACAGTACACAGTACTCTCTCTTCAGTTCACAATAGGGAGACAGTGAGTCATAAGGTTACTTTACCAGTGGTGCTGTATGCTTCTGGACTCAAACAGTAAGTAGAACAGGTGAGGATAGTCACAGTACACAGTACTCTCTCTTCAGTTCACTATATCACTCTGGGCTTCTGACGGGGGCAGATATAATAACCTTCCACGAACGTGTAACGCCCGTTTCACACATACTCCGTTTGCAGTGCGTATGCGGTCCGTATTTTTTTCCGTACCCATGTTAACAGGTTAGAGCTTTCACACTGCACGCGGATGCAGTCCGTCGATCCGTTCCAGTTGCGGTGCGTATACAGCAGTGCAGAGATCGTTTCCGTACCGAGTCTATTTCTGCTGTGCTGCAAACGCAGAAATAAAGTGACAGCGCACGGTTCGTGGTCAAAATGAACTCAGATTGACCTCGAAATGTAGTAGTTTCACCATAAATGCATTTAATTCAATAAAATGTAGTAATCTCTCTATAAAGGTTTAATTGTTTCATATTTTTACTTTAAGACATCTTAATATATGCATGGAATTGTATGCATTCGTTGTTTAAAATCGTGTTTAAACGAGCATGCGTCCATTCACGTTTGTAAAAGAGAATCGCAAAGCCATGGCAAAACTTTTATTTTAATAAAAGTTGCTGCATATGGTGAACATATTTTGATTACCAAAAATCAGGACACATGGCCAAGAAAACAAATGATACTCGAAGTTTACTCAAAGATGCCTTATTAATTTCAATACAATTAAAATAGGCTATGCCTCCTCTGTGGATAGAAAATTGTTATATTAAGACACAAATTCAGATAGCCTAGGCTTCTCAGAGGATACTCAACATGTTTTATTATGACAGGTTGGTTTAAAAAATAATGAATGAAATAATGATTAAAAAATAATGTCTCTTCTGAATTAGAAAAATAAATATATAAATATTAATTAACTAAAAGAAATACCTTCAAATTGAACAAAAATACCTCTCACAAACGTACAGAAACGAACTAGTTTTCTTCCTCTTTATCCTGTTTTTCTTCCTCATCCTCCTTGTTTGCTCATCTCCTATATTTAGCTGTAAAGCTGATCTTTTCCAGCGTTTTTTTATTTTTTTATTATTTATTTATTTTTTTTATTTTTTTTTTGAAAACCAGGACATCACTTTATAAAAAACGGCCAGGACGTGAAAACAGGACTGGGATAACAGGACTGTTGGTCACTGGTCACGCTATTGCTGCATAACTTCTGATTTTGAAATAAAAATAGCGAGTGTTTGTGGTACAGCTCACGCAATGCAAACGCAGCATAAGTGAAAGCACTTTAGCGCGTGCGGCTCCTGTACCGGATACGCACCGCAACACTCACCGCATACGCACTGCAAACGGAGTATGTGTGAAACGGGCGTAAGCATTGATGAGGGCCACTTCTCAACAAAGACACAGCACACTTGTGTTCACTTCAATTCCACAGCAATAAATCAATGTGTATCAATAAGGCAAAAGCACTGCAATTCACTCACACGGTAGGGCTGATCAGAGGCCTCGCTCTGTTTGTTGTGCTCACTTTACATGGGTTTCACTTTCAATTCCTCCTCCACACACTCTGAAACACATAGCTCCTCCAACAGTCAGATCCACACTCACTGTATCCTCTTCAAACGGTTTAAATGTTCATAAGTTAAAATCAGTTCACTTATCTTTGCTCTTTCCTTTCCCAGCACAGATCCAGTCGATAGCTCAGACCAGCAGGCTTCCTACAAACAATCACTCTGATCCAGCAAGCTTAAATGGGCATCTCTCCCTTTCCCCTGTCCCTTCCTTGTCAGTGGGTCCTCCATCTGAGCCTCCTCCATCTGAGCCTTCCCCCGTCTGAGCCTTTTTCTCCCTTCTGTCTGTGTCCTTTTATCTTGTTTATCTTGACTCGTCAAACAGGAAACCTGTGTGAGTGCCGCTCCTCTCTCTCTCGCACCTGCAGTGCATTAGCGCTAATCAGTGCGGGCATGATTCCATCACGCCCGGAGCTGCAGTGGTGTGTTGCACACAATCCGTTCCCCTAGGGAACTTGCGACTCTGAGGAGGGTTCCGATCACCAAGCGATTTTGTCACCCGTGACATCATTATTTAAACATCAATACATCCTTAAGAAAATCTTTTAAATTAGAAGTAAACATGTTACACACCAGTATAATCGTTTACATATTATTATTATTATTAAAGATTTTATTTCCATTTTAGAAATGACCACTTTAAATTGACCATTGTTAGGTTTTCAGTGGGAATCCTGATACATAAACTAATATTAAACTATATGTCCGTTTGCTGTGCTTTCTGCTGTCTCTGTGTGCGTGCTGTGCTCTCCTCGTGTGTGTTTGTGCTCTTCTCTTTGTTCATGTTTATCTTACATTGTGTGGATCGACCAAATGTCCCCTCTAGTATAGTAAAACCTGAAATCACCGATATTGTGGGATCAGTCAGCGGTCCCCATGAGGAAAACAGCGTATAAATCATACTAAGTAAAGTTTTTTTGAAAATGTAAAAATGCAGAATGTTTCCTGTGAGGGGTAGGTTTAGGGATAGGGGCAGGGTAAGGGGATAGAATATACTATTAGTACAGTATAAAAAACATTACGCCTATGGAGAGTCTCCACAAAGATGTGTGCACCTGTTTGTGTGTGTGTGTGTGTGTGTGTGTGTGTGTGTGTGTGTGTGTGTGTGTGTGTGTGTGTGTGTGTGTGTGTGTGTGTGTGTGTGTGTGTGTGTGTGTGTGTGTGTGTGTGTGTGTGTGTGTGTGTGTGTTGAACTAAGTTGAACTGACAAAACTTTTTTCTAGTGTACATTACCTGCAGTCGTCACCGGTGTTACAGTTGAAGAGGCCAAGTACAGACTTAAGACATCTAAAAAATAATTATGAATACAAATGAGTCAACATGTTACATAACACAATGAAATATCAATCAAATAAACATATATTAATATAAGCTTTTACTTAAAGTAACAGTTTGCCTCAAACCAACTCTCAAGCCTTTTCTGTTCAAACTAACAAAAAAATAAAAAACAAAACACACATTGCAGCACTACAGTATCTACATGAAGTATAATTTGTGCATCAAATCTTCTGAAGTCAAACAGCATCTTAATGTGGAGAGCAGAATGAAATGAAAGAAGTGGTTGATGTTTTGAGTGGTTTCTCTATCATGTTGTACACAGAAAGCAACATTTTGATGTCCCAGATCCGGCCCACATCTGGCACATGTGGAAAGATGATCTGGGCCACAAGCAGACCATAGCAATGCCACATGTCAGCCAAGAGTAATGAAATTAACCAGAACTGGACCTTATCTGAGCCACAAAATCTGTGTATATTAAACATGGAGTCATCTCAACCTTAATAAGCCTGTTAAACAGAATCACTGAAGGACAGAAGAGAACAGAAAAAGAGACGAGCAGAACAAGAACTACAACTGACTTTAACTCAAACATTTTTTATTTAACTTTATGTCAACAGGTTCCACATGACTGGGTTATGTTAACTGTTAACTGTACCATAAAACACTGTCTATAAGTGCAATAGACCCCTTTTCAGTTGGTAAACATGGTGACGTTTTTTTGTGGGCGGAGCTTAGGTGGATGCAGAACGATCCCTTTGGCCGCTTCACTAACGCTAGTTAGCAAGTTTTATTAGCTTGTTTTTTTTAACAATGACTGGAGAAAATCCGATATTATCTTAGTGTGTAAGGTCACTCAGTGTCCAGGACCGCGATTGTTATTTTTAACGGACAGAACCAGATTGGCCAACCCGTAGCCTTCACACGCTCACTCAATGCATGGACGATCTCACAGGATTAACGTAAGTTACCTCGGGTGAGTGGCCTGACTTCTACACCTACCTTATAGAGAAACACATCGTAAAGAGAAACTGAGGGCATATAAATCTTTAGATGCCTATAACTATGTGCTGAATGGTCCTGAACAAGACTTGTGTGTACGATCCGCAGTTCTGCCGAGTCAGCGCCGAGACCACGACAATGTAAAGAGTGTCATTACGGTGCGATTTTAATCATGTGAATATTTTCTAAAAATAAAAGTTCCAGATACAGCATATTCATTTTTCATTGATTCTTGCACCAAACAACACAATAAGATGACATTTAAAAATAATAAAAGTAATTTAAGCTCCTTATTATGTAGCCGAATCTGTGCTGTTTTGTATTGGCCGACTCCAGTTTTCACTTTGTTTTGCCTCCAGCTAGCGCCGTGACGTAACTGTGACGTCGGCGCAAAAGGGGTCTATAATGTGTAAAGTCTTGAAGTCAGTAGTTCTTGTGTTTCTCTTTTTTCTGTTCTTGTTGTTTCTCTTTCTTTCAGTGATTCTTCTTATTAACATCAGGTGTCACCACTAATGTTCAATCATCACTTAATTAATCACTTAATTATCTCATTAACTTCAACACTGCTTCAGTGTTCATTTTGAACACCCTGCAGTTGGACCTATATGTACACCGGGGGCCCTGTCTTGCACCCGTGGCAATTGACTTTGTACACTAACGAGAGGTATTATTCGTATTTTGCACCCGTGCA